TATAAATACCACGGCAACTTAGGTTTATCAAAATATTTGACACTGTTATCTTCTTCATCAGTAACACCAATGGAGAGGGCAGCGCTTATCCGCACCATCTCCTCTTCATCTCTCGCCTGCAACCGATTCCTCTTCTCCTCTCCCAGGCTTGCTCGCTCCTTTCTATCAAAATCACCCGTGGTTACTTCCCGACGCCACTACTACCGTCTCATCCCCAACGTCACCAACCGCTTCCTTCCCCGCCGCGGCTTGAGGAGATTCTGTAGACTCTCCGCTGCTTCTCAATCCTCCTCTCTTCGGTTCAGCCTCAGCAACAGACATTTTAGTTCGTTGGCCACACGCGCCGTCGCCTCTCCTTCCACGCAAGGTTCTCCAGGTTCAATTTCTCTCTTAGAAGTTGCTTATGATTTTTTCTTCTTCTTCTTTTTAAGCTATTTTTAAGTGTACATATGATTTTTCCTTGTATTGGCTCTAATAGTTTTGCTTTTATTTTTTTGAGAATTTGTTATTAAACTCAGTCTTCAATTTCTGTTTCTGAATTAACCATTTTTAATTGGCTCTACAGCTCATTAGCAGTAATTAGAACAGGAAAAATGCTTTGGTAGAATGAGATTTTATAAGTTTTATTATTGGTGTTCATGGATGTAGAGATTGCTGGAGTTAATGATGAGGTCGTAGAGAAGTTTGGATTTGAGAAAGTATCAGAACAGTTTATTGGAGAGTGTAAATCGAAGGCTGTGCTTTTCAAGCATAAAAAAACTGGTGCGGAGGTCATGTCAGTGTCAAATGATGATGAGAATAAGGTTTTTGGCATTGTTTTTCGGACTCCACCGTAAGTGTACTATTACTGCATTGGCTTATTTTCAATCATTAACAAATGGAGTAGATTGGGTTTCATAGATTAGTGGAGGGTGGAGACTGAAAACCTGCGTAGATGGGACAGGACTGACTAAAAGTGAATTATATGGGTATAATTTTAGCCTTATACTAGATAATGTAGGTTGCCTTTTAATTTGCAACATCTTATATATTGGTGATTTGGTAAGCATGACTGCAATGCCATTGTATGGATGGAGATTAGATAGAGAATGCATCATCACTGTCCAGTGGAGCTGCCTACAATTTGATGAGTATAATTGTATAAATCCAGATTGGATAAGTTGACCATGCAGGTTTATCTTAGGCTGAGGCTCCTACAGTAAGTTTTCCAGTTTCAGGGTGATGGAGGTCCAGAAAATAAATATCATTCTATACCTTTCATGATGTCATAGCATTATTTGCTTTGGCCAGCTGTTTCACTGTTCTGCAGTTGGATTGTTACTAATTAAATTGGTAACTGACAACAAATTGAGTCTAACTAGTATCATCTGCTTAGCCCTTGTAGATAGGGAGATGAGTACTTGGCCATCTTGAAGTTTCAGTTAACCATTTTTTTTTTGATAATGCAACAAGAATTACTTGGTTGAAAGCGTCTGAAGCTTTGATTTAGCAAAACCTGGCTGTCTACAGTAGACTACTCTTATTCATCTAATATTTAAACCTTCTTGATTTTCTGTTTTGAATTGATGTTGAACAAGATCTTATTGTCATCTCCTATTATTGATGCAGAAAGGATTCAACTGGAATTCCACACATCTTGGAACACAGTGTATTATGTGGTTCAAGAAAGTATCCCTTGAAAGAGCCATTTGTTGAATTGTTAAAGGGGAGCTTGCACACTTTTCTGAATGCATTCACATATCCTGATAGGACATGCTACCCAGTAGCTTCCACCAATACAAAGGTAAACATTTTTCATTATTTGATAAATATTATTAAGAAATTGCCAAAACAGGGTGTAACTCTAGTAAGTTGTACAAGAGAAGTACAAAAATAATCTTCTTGAAAAATCAGGGTAGAGGAAGGTTGAGACATTAAAGGCTAAAATGGAAGTACTGGAAATGAAAAGGCAAGATAAAGAGTCCCCCATTTGCAGATTCAATCCAGTAAAGTAAATAATCCACTCTATCACATTCTTTCCCATGCACCTGAAACACTAGTACAGAGGGTAAAAGGAAGTTGCCAGAGTTTTAAGAAAAGATGCTTCAATTGTGTTACTGTTGCCTTTGGATTATAAATGGTCATTATTTTGGTACAGGATTTCTATAATCTGGTTGATGTATACCTTGATGCCGTCTTCTTTCCCAAGTGCATTGAGGACTTCCAGACCTTCCAACAGGAGGGTTGGCATTATGAGCTCAACAATACTGCTGAAGATATAACTTATAAAGGTTGGCTCTTTAAACATGACTGCACTAGAAATTTTGTTTTGTTGAGCAATTAAAATGATCCTTGGTAAAGTTGTTACTTATTTGTGATAATTTTTCCTTTGGTTTTTCTTGCAGGTGTTGTTTTCAATGAGATGAAAGGTGTCTATTCCCAACCTGATAATATATTAGGACGAACAGCCCAACAGGTAAATTTCCTAAATATCTCATTGTTTATTTATACATCTTTTAATGCTCTGGTTACCTGGGTATTTTCTATTAAGCTACCACCTCTTTGTGTACACTTCAGTTTTCTTGATTAACTGCAAAGAATCAACTGAATTTTAACAATAACATGATTTTTCAATGCAATGAATTGAAAAGGAGAAACAAAGATGAAAAGATTCACTTTATTATATTGATTAGTCACACCTGCTGCCCTTGTTCTTTTACTTATTTCTATTCTGATTGCGTCAAATGACTAAATGACTGATAATTTTATCTTCCCCCCCTTGCTTTTCTTTTCAACTACTGATGTATTATCTGCACAGGCTCTCTTTCCAGATAATACCTATGGTGTTGATAGTGGAGGTGACCCAAAAGTTATTCCCAAGCTGACTTTTGAGCAATTTAAGGTTTGTTGCATCCCTTTTTCTATACACTTGATCTTTCACTAAATAATGTGTTTGAAGTTTAAAATGATTAGTGATTAGGCATTTTATCTCAAGTTGAAACCATAAGTCATCATTGCTATTGAATGAAATCCTCTTTGTTAGTTTGTTTTACTCTCTTTTAGTTTCTCCACAATTTTCTGAATAGACAACACTATTGTAGCTTTTTAGTTGGAGTAGAAATTGTAGAGTGGTATGTTCATATAATTGATTTGTAACTTTTCACAAAATGCAATTGGACAAGAGGGGTTTTCTTGCCTCTAGGTTGCTTCACATTTTGTTGTTAATTCTAATTGAATTAATGTCATTTTCTAACAACTAAATGCTTTACATTATATTGTCCCTTATTCCCTTTTGATCATTTCTAGTTGCAACTTGATTTCTATGAAGAACAATGAAGGTCAGTTGACCTTGCATGTGGACAGATGAATGAAACTAGAGATGTTTCTAATGTCCATTTCATTGTATTGGAAACTGGAAGTGTGGCTACCACTGAGATTATATTGTAGATTATTTTATCCATGCAGTGCTGCAGATGATAGAACCTTTTATTTCTTCTAATGGGAACTTCTGTAAGAATATTGCAAACTTATTTTTTCTTAGTTTTTGACTTCTGTTTGAGAATGAGACGACCAGTGACATGATTGGCATAAATTTTTTAATTTCCATTTTTACTTGTCAGGAAGTAAGACATTGTATTTATTTATTTATTTTATTTAAGTCTTTTCTGTTTACATAGAATTTTTGCATTTTTTTTTGGGCATAAGTCCCTTGTGTCTATGTGAAAATGTGGAGCATTAGCTCTCATTGTTAATGCTGTTAATGAGGTGCTTTCTATTTCTGAGTTGAAATTACAGGAATTTCATCGTAAATATTACCATCCAAGCAATGCCAGGATATGGTTCTATGGAGATGATGATCTAAGCGAGCGCCTTCGCATCCTTAGTGGTATGGATTGGCATTGCTATTGTTGCTGGATCATGATCATTCAAGCCTGACTGATATTTTCCTAACCATTTTTCACTTCCTTTTCTCCCTTGCAAAATTTGGGATAACTTTGTCATGTTGAAAATTCATGTAGAGCAATTGTTACAAAATGGACAAATGTTGAGGATGCATGTTTTGTATATATGATGAGGTCTTAAAAAACCAAACCAACTTGACCAATGTACAGTAAACTGAAATTCCAAGCTAAATATTGTTTTACAATGGGTGGTGTTTGCACTCTACCTTAAGTAGAAAGCACTATCAGTCTTTTAATTTGTTTTACTCTTATGCATACTGTTCAGTTTCGTCTTTTGAAATTTGATCTAAAAATTTTTCTTCCCACTTCCTTCTATTAGGCAGTAAAAACTATATTCTCCAGATTTTTAATACATAATGCTTGTTTGAGCAGTTCTTGCCAATTATTTATCTTTTGCATGTATTTAAATTGTTTGTTCTTATCTGTGCTGAGTGAAACAAGAAACAAGGACCCCAATTCATGCTGTTGCAAGTTGCATCTCTCTCACCTCTTTCATCCTCTTTTGCAGAATATCTAGACATGTTTGATGCAAGTACAGCACCAGAAGAATCAAAGATAGCCCCACAAAAGCTTTTTGCAGAGCCAGTCAGGATTGTTGAGAAATACCCTGTGGGTGAAGGTGGCAATCTGAAAAAGAAGCACATGGTATGCCTTAATTGGCTGCTTTCTGATAAACCATTGGACCTGCAAACTGAACTTGAGCTTGGCTTTTTGGATCATCTTTTGTTGGGAACTCCTGCTTCTCCCTTGAGGAAAGCCTTGCTAGAAAGTGGTCTGGGTGATGCAATTGTTGGTGGTGGGGTAGAAGATGAACTTCTTCAACCTCAATTTGGCATTGGCTTGAAGGGGGTCTCTGAAGACAACATCCAAAAAGTAGAAGAATTAATTATGAGCACACTTCAAAAATTATCAGAGGAAGGATTCGACAAAGATGCTGTCGAGGCATCTATTAACACAATTGAGTTTTCACTTAGGGAAAACAATACTGGATCATTTCCTCGTGGCCTGTCTTTGATGCTTCGGTCCATTGTAAGTTTTTTATTCCTAGCTTTAATGGCTAAATAAGTTGTTCCTCCTCCCTAATTTATTTGTCTGTAAATTCGTAATTGAATTTTTTATTCTTTTTGTAGGGTAAGTGGATATATGATATGGATCCTTTTGAACCATTAAAATATGAGAAACCCTTAATTGCCCTAAAAGCCAGGATAGCTGAAAAAGGCTCCAAAGCTGTTTTCTCTCCTTTGATAGAGAAATTCATCTTAAACAATCCTCACTGTGTTACCATTGAAATGCAGGTATCCTTTGACACTTACTTTGCTTATTACTGAAAGTTGATAACTTATTTTCACTAAATAAGATAACAATGGTGGTATTTTGTGCCAGCCTGATCCAGAGAAAGCTTCTCATGATGAAGCAGCCGAGAAAGAAATTCTTGAGAAAGTTAAAGCTAGCATGACAGAGGAAGACCTAGCTGAGCTAGCACGTGCTACAGAGGAGCTAAAACTGAAGCAGGAAACTCCAGACCCTCCAGAGGCTTTAAGAACTGTTCCAAGCCTATCTTTAGATGATATTCCAAAAGAACCGATACGTGTTCCTACAGAGGTTAGCATAGAGCTAAAACCTGCATATCCTGTGTCTATGATACATTCAAGTCTGCTTGTGTTAATTATCTCTAAATTTCACTGCAGATTGGAGATATAAATGGTGTAAAGGTTTTGCAGCATAATCTTTTCACAAATGATGTGCTTTACAGTGAAGTTGTCTTTGATATGAGTTCACTGAAACAAGAGCTTCTTCCTTTAGTACCGCTATTTTGGTGAGATGTTGCCTTAAAGGCTATATTTTTCTTGCTTGCTCTACTAGAACAGTTTGACTTTTACTATTTGCTAATTTTAAGTTTGTAACATGGATTTCTGTGCTAGTCTCAAACTACAAGATGCTGGAAGTTTGGTCAATTTGCATATTCTTTTGGGTATTTTATCTACGTGTCTCCACATCTGTTAAATGGGACTTCTGCTTGTTAAGGCATCATTCCAAATATTAATATTCACCTCAATTATCATCTTCTGTCATTCACCTCAATTGGTTCCTAATCTTTCTCATTCCTTTTACAGCAACTTAAACTACAGACAGCACAATTGATTGTTCTTCTTTGCCAATAATTGAGTCTTGGCCAACTTTAATTCCTATAAATGCAATAATTTTCATGTTTTATGATTATTCTTTTGAATATCTTTATTATGGTTAACAGAACCCCACCTCCATTGGTGGTTATAAAATGTGCACTGCAAACCTTAGAGTTAATCTCTTATTCCTTATTCTGTAGTCAGGCTGTGGTCCAGCCTCCATTTTCATTATTCTTTGAATCTATATTTCAGAATAATTTTTGTTTGATCTATAAAATATGTATTTTTTTATTTGTGCAACATGTGGGGGGATTAATTTTTTGGAGCCTTCTTGTTGATTGCCTTAGTAACTGACATCTTTGGTTAATACCCAGGCATGAAGTCTGGCTGACTTTTTAGTAGTGGTCTTCTTTCATTTCTGTGACCTATTGCTTTATAATTTCTGGTCTAATAAATGTGAAGCAAGAGAACAATCCTTAAATTAATTGTTCAAACAAGATTACCTGTGTTTACAAACTCGTCCTGATGTTAAGTTTTCCATGAGCAATCTTTGCATTCTGCATGCTTATTCTACATAAATATTGACTCTTTTACCATTTTTTTTTCAATAGTCAGTCATTGCTGGAGATGGGTACGAAAGACTTGACCTTTGTCCAACTTAACCAGTTGATTGGGAGGAAAACGGGAGGAATTTCAGTTTATCCATTCACATCATCTGTGCAGGGGAAGGAAGATCCATGTAGCCATATAATCGTCCGTGGTAAATCCATGGCTGGACGTGCTGAAGACCTATTTAACCTGGTATACTTCTAGCGTTTCCCTTTTGTAACTTGTGGCAAGGTAACTACTTTCCAGTTGGCTATGATATTTTACAAGAATTTCACAAAGGGGCTTTCTGCTAGTTGTCTATGATATTTCTTTCTTTTTTCCAACAGTACGGGTATGCTGGGGCTGTAGTTATGCTATTTCTTCTTCTTCTTCTTCTTTTTTTGCTAGAATCATACTATTTCTTTTGTCCCTTTTTCATTTGCATTTGGGATGAAGCGAGGATTTGTGTTTCCTTCTTCTTCTTCTTTTGTTTTTTCTTTTTCTTTTTTTTTTTCCTACTTGTAGGGTTCCTAAGTGGTACCTTTGACTCCATTTCATTTCCCTATCAATTCTTCTACTTTAAACCGGAAATCTTTATTGGATGAAATTATGGGTTGAATATTTTGTTGAACAATTTGAAGACAAATGACTTTTTTGAGATAATCAGTAAATGATCTCCTCACCTATTGCAGTTTTGATGGATATTCATAATCAAAAAGGAAAAAGAATTGAGGAAGAATATTCTATAGACATAATTATTTGAATCTTTGTTTGTTAAAGCTTCCTTGTAAGTACTACAGCCTTTAAAATCATCTGCTGCAATACCTTTCTCTACATTGTCCTCAGAATTTCTTCTTTAATTAGAGTTTTGTGAACTTATTTGTCATATTAGGATGTGATTTTTCATTCTTTGACTGATTGTATATTGATTGTATATTGATCTTGGTCCAATGCTTTAACTCGTATCATTCCAAAATGACAGTGTTTTACTACCTGAGTGAGCTATGCATTCCAAAAGATATTCTGCCTAAAGCATATGTTTGCGTTTAACTGTAGATGAATTGTGTTCTTCAAGAAGTCCAGTTTACAGACCAGCAGCGGTTTAAGCAGTTTGTTTCCCAAAGCAAAGCGAGAATGGAGGTATTCTCTTTGGAATTTTAATGTGGCATGTGGGATGCCTATTGAAACATAATCTGATCTTGCAGTTTTTATGTATTTCAGAACCGATTAAGAGGCAGTGGTCATGGAATTGCAGCAGCAAGGATGGATGCGAAGTTAAATATGGCTGGGTGGATTTCTGAGCAAATGGGTGGAATCAGGTTGCAATTTTTTTTATTCTTTCCAAACCACTTTGGACTAATCTTACTTTCTAAAATGTCAAGAATCAACTTCTAACTCCAAAGTTTTAAGTTTTGACAACAATCTCAAGTTGCCCTGGATTTGTTTTATGTGACAAGTTTACAATGAACTGTGGTTCTGTTTGCAGTATATGAGCCTTGCTGTATGGCTGAATTTGTTTCTAAAAACCATTCTGAAGTTACTTCTTTAACTACAAAATAAATAAATAGAAAATGAAGAATCATATGCACATACTATCCCTTTGAAGATTCTAGTTTCTGTATTGATAATTTTTTCCACCTTTATATATATAGAAAATTCATAGTGAAGGATGACAATGAGATAGAATAAGAAACGTTGACTGTTATGTAATCTGTCTCTGATGTAGTTACCTGGAATTCCTGCAAGCTCTGGAAGAGAAAGTGGATAATGATTGGGATGGAATTTCATCATCTCTAGAGGAAATTCGCCAATCCTTACTTTCTAGGAACGGTTGCTTGTTAAATATGACAGCTGACAGTAAAACCCTCACAGACACCGAAAAGTTTGTTAGCAAATTTCTTGATTTGCTTCCTAGCAACTCTTCTGTAGAAAGAGTTAGTTGGAATGCTCGACTTCCTCCAAACAATGAAGCCATTGTGATCCCCACTCAGGTGAAATAAATTTCATCCATTCTCATTCCCCTTTTTCTTTTTCTTATTTCTCTGAACAGTTGGTTATAAACCTTTTATCTTTTACAGGTAAATTATGTCGGGAAAGCAGCTAATCTCTATGAGACTGGTTACCAACTTGATGGGAGTGCTTATGTTATTTCAAAACACATTAGCAATACGTGGTTGTGGGATCGTGTTCGTGTTAGTGGTGGGGCTTATGGAGGTTTCTGTGACTTTGATACACACTCAGGTATAATTAAAGGATGTGCCCTTTGTTTGGTAAACTATTTTAGTCTCTACTTCTAGAACATTAATACAGATTTTCTCCTGCAGGTGTATTTTCCTTCCTATCTTATCGAGACCCAAACTTGCTAAAGACTCTTGATGTGTATGACGCAACTGGGGGTTTTCTGCATGAGTTGGAGATGGATGATGATACACTTACCAAAGCAATTATTGGTACCATTGGTGATGTGGATGCATACCAGCTGCCTGATGCTAAAGGTTATAGCAGGTACGGAGACCTCCTTATTTCCTCTAATTTGGTAAACAACTTAGAAGATACTTTTATTAGGTGAAATTACTAGAAATTCTAAATTAGAGAACTTGAAAGCATTGTAATAGATTCTACTCATGCGGATGCAGGTCTTTCATTATTTTGTTTCAAAAGAAATATCTTCTTTTTTTTTTTTTTCGGTCACTCCATCTACAGATCAAGTTTTGTCCTTTAATTTTATAGAAGGCAGCGACTCCATTCAAGTAAAAGATGTTTATGCTGGATTTTTGCATTCTCATTTCCAAATTTCTGAAGTAATAGTGTAATACGCTTGATATTTAAATTCCTCTTCTGCCTCAAAGGCAAGCCATGTAATCTGATAGTAGTAAGCTCAGTGGTATTGTCAAAATGTGTAGTAAGGTTCAACATGTCTGAATGAACCATTGTTCTTTTCTGGTTTTGCCTTTTCTGAAAATTATTACATTATGCCTCAGTATTGATTTGAGCATTTTTAACCAGTCTGTTGCGGTATTTACTTGGGATTACTGAAGAAGAAAGGCAAAGGAGACGTGAAGAGATATTATCGACAAGGTAAGTCTTGTTTTTAACTCACCAGCACATGCTGCATTGATAAGATTTGAGGCATTTTTGGATTTGTGCCTACAAGGCTTTATGATATATTAGAATTAGAATTGTATTATCTAATGATTATCTAATGCTGGAAAGAAATAGACGCAATAGAAATGAGATATTCATGCTTATATAATAATATTAAAGTGACACGATTACAAGAGGTGTTAGTGAAAAAGAAAAAATTATTACTAGAAAAATACCAGACTTTCCCAAATTTGAAAGGGTAGTAGTTGAATTGTCACCGGTAGTCTGGTGAGGTGGGGTTCCTTGTCCCCGAGGAAAGGGGCACACACGGTGCATCATTGGGGCTAGCACTATTTATTGAAAGAAAGTATTGCAAGTTCTTTTAGTTTGTTTCAGAACGTTCTTTATTTTTCTTGGCTTGAGGAATCGTAATTTTTTTTTTTTTGGTCCCACAGTTTGAAGGATTTCAAAGAATTTGCCGATGTCATTGACGCGGTGAAGGACAAAGGAGTGAGTGTTGCAGTGGCATCACCTGATGACTTTGAAGCTGCAAACAAGGAACGATCTAACTTTTTCCAAGTGAAGAAAGCGCTCTAATCCCTTCAAGAACTGCTTTAGACATGAACTAATCTTCGTACAAATTTTCTCTTTTCATGTTAGGTTAAGAAACCCTCGGAAATATTGTTTCAATTTTCTCACGAGTTCTATAGACTAAACAATACAGAAAACGGGAGGAATTCCACAGCAGATGCAATCTTTTCAATTCATTTAAGAGGATCCTGAAACTGTACTCTTGGCAATTATTAGTTCTGGAAATTTATTGCATTGAGATTATCTTTTAATTATGCTCTCTATTTATCTTAGGAGCCCTTTCAATTCCTTTCAGAAGTTTTGAATCTGTTGATTTCAAATTGCCAATGGCAGGCAAACTTGACGGTCTCCTTAGGATTTCTTCTCAAGTACCATTACTGTTAATTTATCAATCCTCAAAAATATTGAAGGCCTTAAGTGGGAAAGTCTCCCCTTAAATCTTAATCAATCAAAAAGAAACTTGTCGTCTCACTTCAATCAATAAAAATGAAACTTGAAAACTTAAATATTAAACAGTTCATTTCACACCACGTATTGTTAATGTCAATTAATTTTATGTTGAATATCTTACATTTCAGCTGCTTAATTGTTTTCTTGTATAGGGATTTATGAAAAGTAAAAAATCCTAGGTCAAAAGACATGCAATTGTTGGACACTCATTGATTTTAGAATCTCTTTTCGGGTAGGTAGGCACAAGTTTGGATCAAGGGAAATAGGAAATAAAGAGGGGGAGAGGGGAAAGAGATTTTATTTATTTAGTTATTGTAAAAAATTGGGGAGAAAGGGAGGGACACTTGCTTTATTCATTTTTCTCTTTCAACTTATTTATTTGTTTTAAACCATCTAAATTAGGGAGAGCTCATCCTTTCAATTCTATCTCCTTTCTATTTCATTCGAATCCAAACATATCCCAAGAATATAAACCTAGGCAACAAGGAACAATTAAGTAACTAAAAAGAGTTTAGTTAATTTAATATCTGTTAACTTTAAAATATTCAAATTCTATAAAGTTAAGTAGCTAACTTTTAATGGATAAAAAAACAAAAAAATCAATTAGGCATATCAATTTTCTTTTGTAAATTACCAAAGTATTATTAATGAATATTTTTTCTTATTAATTTATTATATGTAAATTATTAGTACAACTGCTAACTTTTTTTGGATCGGACTCAACTTGCTAATTGGTATATATTATACGCCTTCTGTTTTAAAGTAATTGTTATTGTTTTATCTTATTTTAAAATTAAAAATTGAGAAATAATTCATGTATTTATTTATATTATTTTTTAAAAGAGGTTAATTGATAAAATAAAATTTTTTGTGATAAGATAATTAATCATAATAAATAGATAATGATAGTGTTAAAATAAAAATTTTTTTGTTTATCTTAAAAAATAAAAAAAAAATTAATTTAGGACAAACTTAAAATCAATAGTTATTTTCGATGGAAGGAGTATATAGAGACAATTTATTTTCTAAAAAGGTAAAAAAAAAAAAATTAATTTCTCCACATGTCGTCTTAGGAGTGTGCATATTTTGGATATTGTCAAAATATCCGAATTTTTAACTTGAATTTTTGAATTTTAGCTCAGATAATTTAGATATTTGGATAAATTTAGATAAAATTGATTTGATTCAAATATAGTTATTGACTCCTATCTAAAACTGCTGATATGAGTTATCAAACTGTTTGAAATTTTTAATATTAAATAATTATTTTTTTTTTGGATAGAATTCTTTTTTTCTTTCATGTCAAATTTATAGATAAGAATCTTAAAAAAAGAATAAAAAAAATCCAAATTAAAAAAGAATAAATTTTTATTATCCAACATTAAAAAATAATAATACATTAATATTAATATATAAAAATTTTAGTTATTTTTAACAAAATTTTTGCAATGAGAATTTTTTATTTTATTAGATCTAACTCATACAAATTTATAAGACCATACGTAGAACGAAAAGGAAAATAGGGCTTTTATTGCACGTCACTATAAATACCCCTGAGTGGAGTCATGAATACCCTATAATGAAGCTAGGAATACCCTAAAGCAGAGCCATTAATGAAGCTAAGCAAACCCACGAATGGTAAGTGAATTGGTTACAAATGGAAGCTAGCTAGGTTGAATACGAAGATGAAGGTGAAACATTCAAATTTTACAATAAAAAGAGCATAATGGTCCCTCTTAATGTCTAAACAAAGAAATGAATTACAGTCTGCAGCACTCTCATGTATAAACTAAAAAAAAAAAAAATCACCCGAGTAGTTGAGTTGAGTGTAACATCCCTGCGGAAACCCCACTTTTTCTGGGCAAGAAATGCATGTCATCTTGCACAAGCTCAATGATATTTTTTCCTTCCCAGTTTAAATACTACGGCAACTTAGATTTATAAAAAAATTTAACACTGATATCTTCGCCACCATTGGAGAGAGCACAGCTTCTCCACACCATCTCCTCTTCATCCCTCGGCTGCAACCGATTCCTCTTCTCTTCTCCCCAGGCTTGCTCGCTACTTTCTATCAAAATCACCCGTGGGCGGTTGCTACGCGAAGCCACTACTACCGTCTCATCCCCAACCTCAACAACCGCTCTCTTCCCCGCTGCAGCTTGAGGAGATTCTCTAGACTCTCCGCCGCTTCTCAATCCTCTCCTCTCTTCGGTTCAGCCTCAGTAACAGACATTCTGTTAAAACTTGGGGTTGAAAAAAGATAATTGGGATCAAGGTGGGTTGTCAAAAATGCCTGCAGATACAATGAAGTGCTGTTGATAATAGCAAAATTAGTTACTGAATTTCACTTTTTTAAGCAGGCAAAACTATCACTTTTGGAGAAGAATTTCTGCCACAATCATTTTTGTTTTTGATAACAGCGAGATATTATCTCTGTTTTCCCATTTTCCCTATTTTCCATATAGGAGTTTTTTTTTTTTTTTTTTTTTCTAGGTAAAATCATATAAGAGTTTATTATTCAAGAAAATGAGGACAAGTTTTTTTTATAGGTCATAAGCGGTTAGAAAGAATTTTATTATATAAAATTTTTCTTTTCTATTTGAGAAAGTAAATTTTATAGAATGTATTTGAATTTTAACTTTTTAAATTTAATATTATTATTTATTTTTACAAAATAAATATATAATTGAATTTATTCTAAACATATGTAATTAGATTTATGTATTTTATTATTTTAAATCTATGAAATATCGAAATACCCTCTCAACCTCATGTATTTCAAATTTAAATTTATATATTTCGATTTTTTTTTTTACAATGAACAAGTGAATATCAAATTCATTTTTGTTATATTAATCTAAATAATAAATTTAAAAATACATATATTTAAAATTATATATATTTAAATACACATATTTAAAATATATCCCTCAACTACAAATTCAAAATTCCAAACATATCCTTAACGTCTTTCTAAACTAATGTCTTCTTTTCTTTCTTCTATTTTAATAATTGGTCCTTCCAATATGCTGTTAAAGTTTTATTTATTATTATTTATTATTAATTGATATAAAAAATTATAAAAAAAACAAATTTTATTTTTAATATTAATATCATATAAAATTATTTAATTAAAGAATTAATAAATTTTAATTAATTTTTATTTTTATATAAATTAATAATTAAAAATACAATAAATACATCTTAGGACATATATCAAAAAATTCCTTAAAAATTTCTCCAACACATTTTAGTTCGTTGGCTAAGCGCGGCCTCTCCTGCGTTGCTTATGTTGTTGTTATTGACTTTTTTTTTATATCTTTCTCTTCTTTTTAGGGTGTCTGATTGGGGCACGTAATTTTATACTAAAGTATGATTGAATTTAAAGTGTATAAATTTAAATTTACTATTTATTGCACCAAGTCTTATAAGGGTAAAAGTTTATTTTTAATTATTTATTTTAATAAATTTATAAGTTTTAATATTTCATTTTATATTATGATATTTTTAATTTATCATTTATACAAATCGAAGAAAATAACCCTTATTCAATATCAGATTATAATGTTTTGTTAGTATTGTTAACTGATTATTAGTTTGTTAGTTGAATGTTAATATTTCATTAACGAAACTAATAAATAAAATTAAATTTAAATTTCATATTTTTTATAATAAAATGTTAACTGTTAATTAACATAACTAATAATCAACTAATAAAGTTAATAGTCAATTAATAAGATATTAAATAAAAGTTTTTTTTTATTTTTTATAATAAAATGTTAACAGTTAATTAACATAACTAATAATCAATTAATAAAATTAATAGTCAATTAATAAGATATTAAATAAAGGTTTTTTTTAATTTATATAAATAAAAGATTAAAAATATTATAATATAAGATGAATGATTAAAATTTATAAATTTATTAAAATAAAATGTTAAAAATAGGCAATTACCGTCTTCTTACGGGACTGGCTTCAAGCCCCTAGTTTTCTCCAAATTGCACTTATTTAAAAAATATATTTACTGTTTGTATACGTAATTTCTTAGGTGTAATTAAAATAGATAGAATATCTGTATTTCATCCCGCCTATTTTAAAATACTTAAAATACGTGTATTTCAAGTGCATTACCTACTCCATGAACTTATGCCCTGGTATCTGACATTAGATGCATTTTTTTGAAGTTTCTCAGCAAGCTCCGCTCCAATCAAAATCTCTTTCTCTGTTTTTTCTCTTATATCTTATTTCGTAAAGATCAAGCAAGGAAGAAAATTGGTGATGGGTAGGGACAAAGGAGTGGATCCCTTCCAAGCGGGAGCTAGACCAGGTATGTGCCCATTCCAAATTGAATAATTTCACAGCGACAGCACTAGAGTCCGATAAGGTTGAATCTTTAAAGGCTGGGTTGAGGTTGGGAAATATAGTTTGCACATCGGGCTTCCGGAAGGTCGAGGTGGAGTCGAAACAGAGTAGGAATTGTGAAATTGTAGCGAGGGGCGAGGGGTGGTTGTGGGAGCTGGTGGGTAATGGCGATGGAAAGGTTGGGGATTGAAAAATTGGTCTTGGGTGCAGGTTGGAGTAGAGTTGGCTGCAGGGTTTATGGGGAGATGGGTTACTGTTGAAATAAGAAGAAAATGAATTCTTCATGATTGTACCTTTAGATGGTTTTGTCAACTGTTTGTAAAAGTGCAATTACTTGAAATTCAATTACAAGTTCACAATATGTTAAGGTATCCAAATGGTGTATTTTGAATTGCATGTATTTTTAATTACATGATTTAAAATACATACATTAAATTCACATACACGATTCCAAACACAACCTTTAAGTCTACATATGATTCTTCCTCTTAATAGCTCTAGTCGTTTTGCTTTTATTTTCTTTGAGAATTTATAATTAAATTCAGTCTTCAATTTCTGTTTCTGAATTGGCCATTTTTAATTTGTTCTAGGGCTCATTTGCAGTAATTAGAACAGGAAAAATGCTTTGGTAGAATGAGATTTGATAAGTTTTATTATTGGTGTTCATGGATGTAGAGATTGCTGGGGTTAATTATGAGGTCGCGGAGAAGCTTGGATTTGAGAAAGTATCGGAACAGTTTATTGGGGAGTGTAAATCGAAGGCTGTCCTTTTCAAGCATAAAAAGACTGGTGCTGAGGTCATGTCAGTGTCAAATGATGACGAGAATAAGGTTTTTGGCATTGTTTTTCGGACTCCACCGTAAGTGTACCATTACGGCATTGGCTTGTTTTCAATCATTAACAAACTGAGAAGATTGGATTTCATAGATTAGTGGAGAGTGGAGACTGACAACTTGTGCAGATAGGATAGGACTGACTAAAAGTGAATTAAATAGGTATAATTTTAGCTGTAGACTAGATAATGTGGGTTGCCTTTTAATTTCCAAATCTTATATATTGGTGATTTGGTAAGCATGACTGCAATGCCATTGTATGGATTGATATTAGATAGAGAATGCATCATCACTGTCCAGTGGAGCTGCTTACAATTTGATGAGTATAATTGTATAAATCCCGATTGGATAAGTTGATGGTGCTGGTTTATCTTAGGCTGAGGCTCCTATAGTTTTCCAGTTTTGGGGTGATGGAGGTCCAGAAAATAAATATCATTCTATGGTGTTCATGATGTCATAGCATTATTTGCTTTGGCCAGCTGTTTCACTGTTCTGCAGTTGGATTGTTACTAATTAAATTGGTAACTGACAGCAAATTGACTTTAACTAGTATCATCTGCTTAGCCCTTGTAGATAGGGAGATGAGTACTTGGCCATTCTTGAAGTTTCAGTTAACCTTTTTTCAATAATGCAAAAGAATTACTTGGTAGAAAGCAGCTGAAGCTTTGATTTAGCAAAACCTGGCTGTCTGTAGTAGACTACTCTTATTCATCTAATATTTAAACTTTATTGATTTTCTGTTTTGAATTGATGTTGAACAAGATCTTACTGTCATTTCCTATTATTGATGCAGAAAGGATTCAACTGGAATTCCACACATCTTGGAACACAGTGTATTATGTGGTTCAAGAAAGTATCCCTTGAAAGAGCCATTTGTTGAATTGTTAAAGGGGAGCTTGCAAACTTTTCTGAATGCATTCACATATCCTGATAGGACATGCTACCCGGTTGCTTCCACCAACACAAAGGTAAACATTTTTTGTTATTGATAAATATTATTAAGAAATTGCTAAAACAGGGCGTAACTCTAGTAAGTTGTATAAGAGAAGGCACAAAAGTTGCCTTCTTAGAAAATAAGGGTAAGGGAAGGTTGGGACATCAAAGGCTAAAAAGGAAGTATTGGATATGGAAAGGTAAGATAAAGTGTCCCACATTCGCAGATTCAATCCCCTAAGGTAAGTAATCCACTCTTATCACATTCTTTCCCTGCACCAGCGACACTAGTACAGAGGTAAAGGGTATTTGCAAGAGTTTTAAGAAAAGATGCTTCAATTGTGTTCTGTTGCTTTTGGATTATAAATGGTCATTATTTTTGTACAGGATTTCTATAATCTGGTTGATGTATACCTTGATGCTGTCTTTTTTCCCAAGTGCATTGAGGACTTCCAAACTTTTCAACAGGAGGGTTGGCATTATGAGCTCAAC